GACTTAGATCATCTAGTTGATCATCTTACAACTTCAATGCAAACTTCACTTGATAAAATTGCTCCACTGAAAAAGAAAGTAATCAATCAGAGGAAACTGGCTCCTTGGTTCAATTCTGAGTTACATACTTTAAAGCAGGCATCTAGAAACCAGAAGAGAAAATGGCGCTCTACTAATGTTGAAGAATTTTATTTAACTTGGAAAGATATTCTGCTAACATATAAAAAAGCTCTCTGTAAAGCTAGAACTTTATATTACTCATCTTTAATAGAGGAGAATAAAAATAACACTAGGTTTGTGTTTAGTACTATTGCTAGACTAATTAAAAGTCCCATTTCTGTTGAACCATGTATCCCTACAACTATAAGTAGTGATGACTTCATGAGATTCTTTATAAATAAAATTATTTCAATTAGAGAGAAAATTCAAACCATCCTTCCTTCTACAATCTCTAGTCCCCTGTCAAACGAGGCAACTTTAAAAATTTCACTAGAGCCTGATTTATGTTTGGACAGTTTTTGTCCTATTGAGCTCTGAATTGTCAAAAATAATAACCTCATCCAAACCATCCACATGTCTGCTAGATCCCATCCCAACCAGACAGTTTAAAGAGGTATTCCCCTTAATTAATGTACACATTTTGGATCTACTTAATTTGTCTTTAATGGATGGTTATGTAGCACAGAGCTTTAAGGTTACTGTTGTAGTGAACTAGGCCTGAATGTCAAAACCTTGACCTAAGGACCATTGAGACAGAACTTGTTATTTCATTGATTTGCATCCAGAAATACAGGTTGACCCATCCTGAGACTTTCTTTCTTATTAATCAAGTAAAAGAAGACTATTCTCTATTATCATTACTATTTTACAAATGTTTGATAATCAAATTGTGTTAGTTCAAACAATGTTTGAATGTTGAAGTGAACTAATTATTTAAATCAACTGTGAAACAGTAATAACGATTTTTAATCCTCATTCAAAGAAGAAATCAGGTTAATGATGCATTGTCTGATTTTCTGTCTTCAATGAGCGAAGTTGTAAGTGTGTCGAAGTTCAAGTTTCGGTCAACTGAAAGTTTACTGAAAATAAATGTCATGTTTAACTTTTACAGCAAGATACTGGAGAATTGGCTCCACGAAGTCTGTTTTTTTCATAATATCTTTTTGTCTGTTCTTAAACAATCTTAATCTTTTCCTTGACTTTTCATAACACCTTACATCACAAAACACACCTCTGTTTTGGTCCATTGACCAATCAGAAACTCCCAGATGAACCGGAAATAGAGCTCTTTAAAATGTCGGTACTTCCTAGTTCAAACGAGTTTTTTGAGTCGACAGTAGAGTTTGGAGGCGAGGTTGGGGAAACAGGAAAATCCTGACATGACCACAGAGCTCTTCCGAGTCTTAAGGGATTATAACATCTTCCACCTCTGGGTGGAACACGGACGGACTCCACTCATGTGAGTCCACTCGTGAGGTGAACTGTTGTTGATGAAGTACCACCACCACTCCGGACGGTTCTCTGCCATCCTACGGAGACGCTGGACCGGTAGCGTTAACTGAACTCCGTATCCGCTGATTCATCTTTAGAGAGGTAACGAGTCGAGTTTACTACCGAGCGTACCGAGGAAAGCTGGGTTCGAATGGAGGGTGTCGTTCTGTTCAACACTTTCCCTCACACACCATCTCCCTCCGTCTAAACTTCATCTTTCCATCTTTAAACTCTCCTATCTGCTAGCAAATTAATCCAGATATTTTTAGAAATGTCTGAAGCAAAGTTTTCACCACCGCCGTGTGGTAATACCTGCCGTTCTGCTGGAAGTGAGAAAACAACCGCCGTGTTGTTTACTCCTTGCTAAACTGATTAATAAGCTGTCGTTATTTTCAATTCTTGCCAATTAATGTAAATGTGTGATGTGTTAAACTTGATTATGTTAATAAATGACCCACTGTCTTGGTGAGTCAAAGATAATTAACGTTTCCGTCCACATTTTCTAAATTCAATGCACATTATATACGGTCCAGAAAAATGAAAGAATCCGTTTTAACAGTATGAATATATCTCATGCATATGTTCAACTACACTGTAATTAAACCTTTACTTAAGAAGTCTGATCTTAATTCAGAAATTCTGGGCAACTATAGACCTATATCTAATCTAACTTTCATCTAAAAAATTCTAGAGAAAATAGTTGCAGGTCAGTTGCGTGAACATTTACAAAGAAATAATATATTTGAAGAGTTTCAATCAGGGTTTAGAGCTCATCATAGCACAGAAACAGCACTAGTAAAAGTAACTAATGATATTCTCATGGCCTCAGACAATGGACTTGTGTCTATACTGGTCCAGTGCTGCATTTGATACAGTTGATCACAATATTTTACTACAGAGGCTTGAATATGATGTTGGGATTACAGGAACGGCTCTAAAATGGTTTAAATCATATCTATCTGATAGATTCCAGTTTGTAAATGTAAATAATAAATCTTCTTCATACACCAAAGTTAGTCATGGAGTTCCTCAGGGCTCAGTGCTTGGGACAGTACTCTTTACTTTATATATGCTTCCATTAGGTAAAGTTATTAAACAGCATGGGATAAATTTCCATTGTTATGCTGATGATACACAGTTATATTTGTCCATTAAACCCAATGAATCCAATCAGCTACTTAGTCTACAAGCATGTCTTAAAGATATAAAAACCTGGATGACCCTCAATTTTCTCCTGTTGAACACAGACAAGACTGAGGTTTTGGTTTTTGGACCTGAGCACCATAGGAATCAATTTTTCAGTCTTTCTCCCTCCTTAGATGGCATTAATCTGTCCTCCAGCTCTAATGTTAAAAATCTTGGGTGTTATTTTTGATTAGGACATGTCTTTTATCCCCCACATTAAAAACGTTACTAGAACCACCTTCTTCCACCTGCGTAATATCACTAAAATTAGAAACATCTGATCTAAAAATGATGCAGAAAAACTGGTCCAAGCATTTGTCACGTCTAGACTGGACTATTGCAATGGTTTATTATCTGGGTGTCCAAATACTTCTTTAAAATGTCTTCAGTTGATCCAAAATGCTGCTGCCAGAGTCTTAACTGGAGTTAGTAGGAGAGATCACATTTCTCCAGTTTTAGCTTCTTTCCATTGGCTCCCTGTCAAATCCAGAATAGATTTCAAAATCTTACTTCTAACCTACAAAGCTCTCAACAACATAGCTCCATCTTATATTACAGATCTTATTGTTCCATATTTTCCTAACAGAGCACTTCGCTCTCAGACTGCAGGTTTACTTGTGGTTCCTAGAATTTACAAAAACAGAATGGGAGGCAGATCTTTCAGTTATCAGGCTCCTCTCTTGTGGAACCAACTTCCAATTTCTGTCCGTGAGGCTGACACATTATCCAGTTCTATTTCGTATAGGCTTCAACCTTTAAGAGCTGTCGCTTAGTGGGTTTATCCTGTTATGCGGAGCATTACACTGAAAAATTTAGTCCACGCCCACCTGCTGTGTGGGCCCCACCCGGTCCATATAAATTACGTTAAGAGCGGGAAATCGGCTCCCATTTTTTCTTCAGCGAGCTAATAGCACTGTCAGAAGAACGAAGAAGGAAAGTTGTGTAGATGACCAACCTTTGTTAAGAATGCTTGGCCCGGCAGTCGACCTCCGGTTGTCCGGTG